TGGCCTCCTTCACCCCCGGTCTCCTTCACACCCATCCTCCTCCACACCCGGCCTCCTTCACACCCGGCCTCGTTTACACCCATCCTCCTTCATACCCGGCCTCGTTCACCCCCGGCCTCCTTCACACCCAGCCTCATTCCTACCAATGCCCTTCACCCCCGGCCTCCTTCACACCCAGCCTCATTCCTACCAATGCCCTTCACACCCGGCCTCCTTCACCCCCGGCCTCCTTCACACGTGGCCTCCTTCCTACCAACGACGACAGTCTCAGTTGGATGAGAGCGAGTGTGAACACAGTGTTGAAGGAGCAGAGTGAAGTCTCATAGTTAGAGAAATGCAAATGTGTGTTTAGCAGCCCTGGCTGGTGCTGCTTAGTGGTTAGAGCGTTGGCCCGTGTATCGAAGGGTCTCGGTTTGATTCCTGGTCAAGGGCACATGCCTGGCTTGCAGGTTCCCCATCCCTGGCTACAGTTGAGGTGCATGTGGGAGGCAACCAATCCATGTGTCTCTTCCACATTGATGTTTCTCTTTCTGTCTCTCTCTCCTCCCCTCCTCCCTCCTTCCCTCCATCTCTCTCTAAAAAAGCAATGGGAATAATGTTCTCGGGTGAGGATTAACAAAAAACAAAAAGCATCAGGTCACCGTGTGTTCACTCTTCCCGCCTCTGTAACCGCAGGTTCTTGGCACATGGCCGCCCTGAAGCTGGGATGGGTCTTGAGTGGAACACGGAGCCTCGTTGAGGCAGTCGATCCACCCAGTGACGTGTGTCTGTCTTTCAGTTCTTCCAGCGCGCTGCGAAGGATGAGTTGTGTCGTCAGAATAACCTGTACATCCAGCCGTACGCCTGCTATGAGCTGGGTTGTCTCCTGTTAGACAAGCCAGAGGTAAGACCTCACGTCTTTTCTTGAAGTTCATCACCGGGAACGGGGGAGCAGGCGGGCAAAAGCAGCCTTCGTTGATGGGAAATGGATGAAACGGGGGGAGCTGGCGGGGGGGTGGGGTGTTTGTTTTTATTTCCCATAAGGAGAGTCCAAGAAGCCACGAATTCTATCTGTTCAGGAGATAATGTCTTCTCTGGAATGAGATTTTGGGGCAAAAACTTACCTGAGGGGGAATCGTGGCCATTTTCAGGAAGGAATGTGGGTCGTGGCGTGGCTTATGCGTGAGGATCCGCTGCCATGTACCTTCCTGTGCCCCTGGCTCGGCCCCTCAACCAGTACCTTCCTCCTCGTCTATAAATCATGATGAGAAAGTACCCGTCTTGCCAATGTAATAAAGATCGTGGTGAGAATAAATGGGATGACGCGTATGATTACTTTAAAAATGTTAGAACACCTTATATGTTAACTTGATAATTCCTATGAAGATGTATATATATAAGCATAATGGGGCGGGCTTCTTTAAAAAATAGGATTCCAGTGGTGCTGGATTTGCTTGCTACTTTCTTTTGGGAGCTCAATGACATGATACTGGTTTTTGTAAAATTCTAATTTTTAGCAAGTTCCACTTGGTTTCCAAATATGTGGGCTTCCTAAAAGTTGAGTTATGAACCCACGGAAACCTGATTGTCGCATAACCCTTACCCTTAAACACATAACGAGACATAACTTACCGACGTCAATTAGCCTTTTAATTGTCACCAATCTTAGGTTCTTTTAGGAGACCTTCACCTGCACTATTCTAACTCTTCTAAGTTGTTTTGTTTATGGGGTGATAGTGAAGGTTATGAAAAATTGTTCATGGATTGTAACGCCTTGATGTAAATCTGTTGACATCATTGGGTTAAGGAAAGTTGAGTCTTCACTGCATGAGCGGTTGACTCACCTCTGTGACTGAATTGTCTGATTTAGCATATCCTCCTGTTACAACCTTTTCCGCCTGAGCAGGCGGAGGTGTTAAGAGATGTGTGTTTGTCTTCACAGACGGTAGCAAGAGGCAGAGCCCTCCTTCTCCAGGCAAAGGTAAGCATTCCGAGTCTTCCCGCCCGGGCCCTGTCCTCTGCACAGGGAGTCTGAACTCAAGAGATTTGGGGAAATGGTTGTCTGGTGGCTATTTCTGGAAAGGAAAAGGGGCGATCGTTGAGCCAGCAAGCACTTGAATTTTCAGTGACATGACCAGCATCATAAGACACTCCCGTGGATGCGCTCATCCTGCCTTATGCACCCTCTTCTTCTTTGAGTGAAAAGTAACGACATTTCATAACCACGTTCCCGATGAAAGAATTTCTCATGGCTGCTTACGTGGAGCGCCACGTAAGACCACAGTGTAAGGAGTCACACGAGGAAAACATCACAGAGACGCATTATTGACGTTCAGTTAGCATTCTTTTTTTCTTTTAAATATTATTTTTTATTGATTTCAGAGAGGAAGGGGGAGAGAGAGAGAGAGAAACATCAAGGATGAGAGAGAATCATTGATTGGCTGCCTCCTGCATGCCCCCACTGAGGATTGAGCCCATAACGCAGGCATGTGCCCTTGACGGGAATCGAATCTGGGACCTTTCAGTCCACAGGCCGACGCTCTATCCACTGAACCACACCAGCTAGGGCTGCAGTTAGCATTCTTTATAAAGGTCACACCCTGGCTGGTGTGGCTCCGTGGATAGAGCATTGGCCTGTGGACTGGAGGGTCCCAGGGTCGATTCCAGGTCAGGGCATGTGCCCAAGTTGCAGGCTTGATCCCCCAATAGGGGGTGTGCCGGAGGCAGCCGATCCATGACTCTCTCTCATCATGGATCTTTCTCTCTCTCCCTCTCCCTTCCTCTCTGAAATCAATAAAAGATATTTTTTAAAAAAAATCCCAAAGCTCAGCGATTGGGAAATAAAACCAAGTGGGTGCAGAGCCTTTAGCGGGAGTGGAGGGGTGTCCCTGGGGACGGACAGAACTCAGGTTCACCCCACGGTGGCTCCGCCGCACGGCCCTCAGTGCCTTGCTTGTTCTTCCAGGAGGATTTCTCTGGCTACGACTTTGAGAACCGACTGCACGTGCGCATCCACGCGGCACTGGCCTCCCTGCGGGAGCTGGTTCCACAGTGACAGACGGGGCTCCCGCTGTCCCCCCTCCAGGTTCTGCCCCTGCGGCTGGAGGCAGAGGCTGGAAGCAGAGGACACCGCTCCTTGAGGACCTGCCTTCCCCTGCCGCCGCCGCCTGCGCAGGGACAGACGCTTCCCGGTTAGGCCGCCGTAGTGGAGATCTAGCTCCAAACAGCAGCAGTGAGATCATAGTCCTTGTAACCAACACCTGGGGAGGGGTTAAGTGACCTTGTTCAGACACTTTAGTTTTGTGATTGATTATTTTTAAAATAAAAACCAAGCTCCACACTCAACCTGCGATCTCGTAAGCACACGTCTGCCGGCCACACCGAGAGGTGCCGGTGCGGCAGTGATGTTGTGTTTCGGGGAAAAGGAAGTGCTTCCGGTGTTTTTCTTTGCCCTCGCGCCGCCCCGTGGAGAACATGGCACAGATATTCCGATCCCCGCAGCCCAGACCACGAAACTCAGGCACAAAAAGCAAATTGATTTACCCCAATTAGTTCTTCCTGTGGACCGGTCTCCGGACCAGGAAGCGAATATTCCTTTATTGTAAAAAGTATATGTTAAGAACCCAGGGTTCGTTGTTTTCCTTATTAAAAAAAAAAAACAATTGCTCTTCAGCTGAAGTTGTCTCGTCAGAGTATTTATCTCCAGGCTGTCCGCAGTGTTTCCGAGGGATGGAGCCATGGGAAGGCTGCGCCGGGCTGCCTCCTGGCCGGGGTGTCCTAACGTCCCCCTGCGCTCAGGTCATTGGATGTAACAGGAGTTCAGAGTTATCTTCAATCCTTTGTCGCTCATTGTAATTGCCATTTAATTGCACCTTTGTCCAGTGCTGCACACCTGTGGTTTTGAAGAATCAAAATACCTCAGTCCCACCCTAGCTGGTTTGGCCTGCAGACTGAAGGGTCCCGGGTTCAATTCCTAGTCCGGGCACATGTCCTGTCTGGGTTGTGGGCTCTATCCCCAGCAGGGGGCGTGCAGGAGGCAGCCGATCAAGGATTCTTTCTCACTATTGATGCTTCTGTATCTCCTTTCCTCCCTGAAATCAATAAAAATTTATTTTGAAAAATTACCTCAGTCCCTTAAGGGTTTCTGCGTGATGGTGTGCCTCAGTTGGCTCAATCGTAAGGGTCGATTTTTTACACGTTTATATTGAGCTAAAGTGTGTCATCGTGGAGTGTCGTTTATTTACCCATCTGCCGGGGTTCTTCCAGCATCTAGAAGGGTTCGGCAATCTGGAGAAGGGCTGTGTGTAACTTAATAAGAGTCCAGAGACGAAGCATAATTTTGAAAGGCATTTGGGGGCCAGAGGAGCCTAAGATCTCCTCGTCTCAGGATCCCTTGCTTTTTATTAACACAATTCGTCCTGAGGTGAGGTGGAGATACACACTTCAAAGGGTAAGGTTTCCTATACTCAAGCATTGTCAGGATGGGAGAATTTGCCTATGGCTGTTCAGGCGTTTGGCCAGTAGGAGGCAATAATATGTAGACTAGGATGCCCTTTTAGCCATTCCCAGATGATTCGGCCCTTGTTGACATGCTGGAATTGGCTCCCAGCACATATCCTTTTAGCCGAAGCGTGATCTTACGCAGTGTTCACACTTGATGCTGCTTCCCCAAATTCAACATGGGAGGAGCCATGCAGACTGCAGGCAGGTTCAATCTACTTCGTCGGCCGGGAGGGGATGATAGTTCCTTGGAAAGAAGTGAGTGTTCTTCACCGACCTTGGCTGTTACCCTCCCGTTTCCTCACTTCCAACGTGTTCCTTCACATTGACTTTCCGGTGTGAGCCCTGCAGATGGCGTACAGCCCGAGAGAAGAGGCCCTGCCCTCCCTCCAGAGGGGGTCGACGCTGAAGCCTCGTAGATGCTTTCTGCAGAGAGGACTTCGTGCCTAACCATCCCGGGCCCCTGGTTCCAGCGAAGCTGAAGGGATGAACTTCATGAATCTTTACAACGTGGCTCTTGCCATTTCGTTCGCTTCTTGGCTGTTGGATGCGCGGCCAACTCCTGACCGTGCAGCGTTTCGGGACCACGAGCGCTTGCCTCAGCGTCGCCGCTGGCATCTTCAATAGTGTTGGAGCTGTTATTCCGCAAAGAGTAAAGACCGGTGCTTCGCACATTTTTAAAACATTGTTCCTGCATTAACAGCTTTAAAATACGTTTCTCCAGAGAGATTTCAAGATTTCAGCTACGTTTGTGTTCAGTTCACCTAACGGAATAGACAGCGTTACACCGTCCAATAGGTTTTCCTTTAGCCGTGAGAGAGCAGGTGTGATAGACTGTCCTAGTTTGGTGCAGGGTAACCCTGTGGTGCTGGGCTCCTCACCTGGTGGCAGAGCACGGATAGGGTAGACAGTGACTCTGAAAGCCGCAGCCAGAGCTGCACCTCAGATCACTGACATCCGCGGGCATTTACAAAAAAGTCTCTATTGTTGAAAGTATTACATGGGTGATCCTCCCCCACCCCATTATCGCCCCCCGCCCCACCACCCTCACCACCCCATTGTGTTCATGGGTTATGAAATATTTATCTCCAGCTTAATTGGTTCATTAGATTCCACAGATTAGTGAGATCATGGGATATTTGTCTTTCTCTGACTGGCTTATTTCTCTCAGCATAATGCTCTCCAGGTCCATCCATGCTGTTGCAAATGGTAAGAGTTCTTTTTTTGTTGTTGGGTAGTATTCCATGGTGTAAAAGCACCGTAGTTGTTATTTTATCCACTCCTCTGCTGATGGGCACTTGGGCATTTTTTTGAGCTGAGTAATCCCGTTACTGGCCTGTGTACCGTGATCGGCCCAGCCTGGGACTCCGGGACCTGCCTGGGGACTCGGTTTAGGGTAAAACGCTCTCGCCCGCCCTGATGGAGAAAGCAGCTGGGCCAGTGGGACCATCTGCATCTGTGTGTGTGGTTTGTGTTGGCATCCCTCCTCCCCTTTCGTATTCTGGAGGCTCTCAAATGGGCCTTGTTTCTGATGTCAAATATACTTTTGTGTTAGATGCTGCCTCTGACGGGAGACGCCCGTACTGTCTATTTCGTGGACTTGCCACATGTGCGGCCTGGAGGCCTAGTCTGATCATACGAATGCAACGTGCACTCTCGTGGTGAATGTACTTGAGGTTTTCCTTTTATGGGGCGAGGGGTCTTTGTTATTTTACACGTGATAGTGAAGCAGTTGAGTAAAGGATTGTTACTTCTTGGTGTCAGACGATTAGAATATTTGTGGGGATATGGTGTATAATCACTCACAGAATTTGCACTTACATTTCTGCCGACTGCGATGGAAGGACAGTGCGTGCCTTATTGAAAAGCACGCACACAGGCGTGTGTTCCTTTGCTGTGTGAACGTCCGGCTGACTGCTTCCTGCAGCAGGTGGTGGGGGCAGGTATCCCGCATGGCTGTGTGGCTGCGGAGAGAAGCTATCCAGTCGCACAGTCACGGTGCACCAGTTGGTGTTTCTTATATGTATTTTTTGGATCCTGTTGGTGCTATATTTTGTAGAAAACAATGCCAAGCCCAGATCATCTCAAGAAGATAATAGTAGGGGGAGGAGACTTGGAAGGTCGGGGAGAAAAATAAAGGGTGAGGGGAACAAGAGGATGGTCCACAGATGGGTCTCTTCCAGCGTCAGGTGCACAGGAGTCACCCAGTGCACCGTGGGCCTGGCCTCCCTGTGGAAACCATCCGTGGGGATGAACTCCAGCCCCTCGATGGCTGGGGCTTGAAAGAGAAGCAAGACACGTGTGACCCAGGTGAGCTCTGGGTTATCCTTACTTTTTCCTCCCACTGGCCAACGGTTCTCAAATTTCCGTTTTACAGGATGGTCCTCTCTGAGCCTCGCATTCAGGAGGTTTGGGTAGGGCTTCGGAAGGCGTGATCCAGGTGGTCTGAGAGAAACGTTGCCCTCCGTTATCTCTGGGTTAGTAGCCAGTAAATCGGAGAGAAGAGTCGAGCACACGCAGGTTCATGCCTGGAGCCCAGTCATGCTTAGTCATGGAGTGTGTATCATGGGGCCGCTGAGGAATTGCTTCTAGCCCTTCGGCGTGGTAAACTGGGAGATTCCTGGGCGAGTTTTAAAGGACACTGATGGCCCGGAGGACACACGAGGCCTGGGACCTGACGGATAAAACCACAGGTGACAACGCACGTGCTCAGGACGGATTTCGAGAGTCAAGTGGGCAGCAGCTGGTCAGACGAGATGGGGGTTACTCGAAGTCACAGGAAGAACCTTGGGCTTCTACAGAGTAAGGGTTAGTGGGGAGGCAAGCAGGGAGCCCTGCGCAACAGTGGGTTCACACTTGAGATCCCTGGCGTCTGAAAAAGGAGATGGACACAAGGACAAGACGATTATAAAACCACCTCAAATCATTAGCAACATCAACTAGGGTGCCCTGATGGGGAAAATAAGACATTTTTGGGGCGAGGGCAGGGGGGCCTAGCAATCTGAATTTGTGCCAGTAACCTAATGTACCTTCTTGATAACCTATAATTAAGTCACTGCTCTTTTCCCAGAAACTGGTCTAGCAAGACCTGTTACCTAAATGCTCACATCTTAGAGGCCATAAACCATGACACAGCCCCAGAATGGGGTTATCAGTGCTGGCGCCAGGCCAGGCTCTTAGGTGTGGTCTCAAGACCCCCAACACCTGGGGCTTTTTGCAAAGCCCATGAAAGGTCCGGAAGTATAACCCATATTTGGGGGACAAAGACACCAAAAGGAGATGACAGAGGGGCTCCCACCATATTGGTTTGCTCAGAATTTGAGAGGTAAACTCCTCTGAGTCGCCGGCGTAATAAAGCCGTGTAACTCCATTTCTCTAAGCGTTGCTTGTTTTTTCTCCTGTGTTCTATAACAATGCTATTTAACATTTGGTTTCTAGTGGTTCTTGTTGCTTTAAAAAAATTTTTTAAAATTGATTTCAGAGGAAGAGAGAGATAGAAACATTGATGCTGAGAGAATCGTTGATCATCTGCCTCCTGCACAACCCAGGCATTGAGCCCGCAACCTGGGCGTGTACCCTGACCAGGAATTAAACCGTGACCTCCTGGTTCATAGGTCGACCCTCAACCACTGAGCCATGCTGTCTAGCTCTTGTTGCTTTTTTAAAGATTTGAGGATGGATTAGGGAGGCCGCTGAGCATCTGGGACACATGATCGAGCTGTTACTGAATGCCCCGCACACATGTGAGCCTGAAAGGGTGAGAGTGCATTTAAATGAGTCAATGCTGCTTTAGTTGGTAAAACTGAGCTACTGAGACCAGTGACCTGCAGCCAGCTGCTGGGGGGTGTGGCTTAGGAAGGACAACGGGCCCAGGTATTGCCAGGATCCACATGAGGGAGACACAGGAGGCCTCCGGATGGATGCCGACCTCTCCACGGGCCAGTGTCTCCAGAGGAAAGGTGCTGTGCGCCTCCGGGGCCTCTCTCTCTGCGGGGTTAGCTGCGTGCACGGGGCCGCGGGCAGTCACGCACGTGGAGAGCGACACGGGGAAGGGGAGTGTCAGGGGCGAGGCGGTGGCGCGAGCCAGGGGCGCTTACCGGCGCCCATGGGAG